CCTCCCCATCTTCTCATTCATGCCCAAAAGTGTCTTTGGTGTTGGGGTACAGAGCACTGTGTGTCCCACTCACTGGCAAGTCTGAGCAAGAGCCAACCTATATTTGTTTCTCTACCTGAAATATTCTGGGGATTAGGAATTATTTTGTTAGAAGTCACATCAGCACTGTCCTAAGGCCAAGAGCTATTTGGGTACCTTGTTGGAGTAACCCAGTAAGTACCATCTCCTGACTTTATGTTGGACTTGCAAGATAAATGGGTGGGGACAATTAGGAAATTAAGGTTTTTGGAGGGGGACGGGGTATAAACCAGTTTAAGATGTAAAAAATTTAACAGCTGATATAGCTACTCCCAAATGGCCATTTCTTGGCTTTCTTCATTTTATAGCTCTGTACCATTTGATAATTTTATCAGCTCCTGCTACTTAAAACTCTTGGCCTTGGCTTTTGCAAGATTACACTCCTTGGTATCCTCATTAGGTACTGAAAGCTTCATTTGTTTCTCTGGCTCTTCTTCTCTTCCGCACCTCCCATTGTTGCTGTTTCCTGAGGTTTCTGATCTTCTTTCTTAACACTTTCTTCCAGGGAAAACTTCATTGGTTTCCACAATTTCTGAGCCATTGACTCCAAAACCTATATAACTATCTCTCCTGATATCTCTTGAACTTGAAATCTACCTGCATATCTTGCTGGCCCCCCATATTCAACACATTGGAGAGAAAATTTGTCATCTTTTTCCCCCTCCCAAACCAGCATTTCCTCATGTAACTCTCATGACACTTTGACTTGAAACACCACCCCCACCCCTAAATCTACTTTGATTTCTTCCTTTTCCTCAAACTAGATTTAAGAGCCTTCAAACAGGACTCCATCCTACCTTTCCAGCTGTCCTTCCCCAACTCCCCCAACCCCCTCTTCCCAGCCCTCTCCAAATTCCACTACCTGTTTGCCATCAAATTCCCCATAGTTTTTACCTCTGAGACTTTATGTAGTCTCATTCCTAATTCCTCTGCCTCAAATGCCTTTCCTGATCCCTCTTCAATATGTTACAATCCTACACATTCTTTAAGGCCTATTTTCAAGGTCCCACAAAATTACTTTAGAGCCTAACATCCACATATGTTCCTCCCTTCTTCTGAAGTCTTGTACTAGGCCAACATGTACCAAATACTCTAGTAGGCACTGTACATACAGTACTCAGTTTGTCCTCTCTACTACCCTGCCTGTGAGGCAGATATTATTATCCCCATTTTATATATGAAGAAATTGATTACAAAAGTTGTATATCTTGAAACTGTTCTCCTTGGCTTTTGTGATATTGTGCTCCTTGGTATCCTAATTACATGCTGAAAGTTCCATTTTGGTTTGTTTCTCTGACTCTTCTATTCCTCATCTCCCATAGTTAAAAACTACGGGGAATTTGATGGCAAACAGGTAGTACAATTTGGAAAGGGTTTTTAAGAGGGGGTAGGAGAGTAGGAGAAGGACATCTAGAAAGGTAGGATGGAGTACTGTTTGAAGGATCTTAAATCTAGTTTGAAGAAAAGGAAGAAGTCAAAGTTGATTTGGGGGTGGGGGTGGTGTTTCAAGTTTAGAAAGTCACTGACACTTTCTGAAGTAGGAAAGCCCAGATTTGAAGCTAGGTTTGCTTGCCCTTAACCATTTTGCATACTGCTTGAAGGGCATTCAGTGTTGGTGCCTGAAGGGCCTTTGATCTTCATGTAAGGACTAGGCATGAATCACAATAAGAAGATAATGGTGGAGGCTCACTGAATGAGTGTTGTATGGAAAATGGGTGAGCAAAGTGCATATTTATAAAAGAAATGTAGCAATTTAAGTCAATCCTGTACACAAAAGGAGGATTTGAAACCAATTTCCAGCCCAAATTTAGTTCATTTTTAAAACAACTCAGAGGATAGGGGAGTAGCGTCCCCTTATACCTGCTTATATTTGTGACTGGAAAGCACAGGAGCCCCATACAGCTACCAACCCCTTCTGGATTATTCTTCCTCTCATGTCTGCACACATATCCATCAACTCTTGGTTCAGTATGTTGTAATTCATGAAGCAGGTGGGGATATAGAATTATAAATTTTTAACAGTATAACCAACCCATCCAATAGCACGATACCTTATAAGAGCAGACACTGGAGCCAAATTGTAGCTGCATTTGAATTATGTCTTCAATACTTATCAGCTGTATAAATTTAGGAAAGTCACTTAACCTCTCTGAACTTCAGTTTCCTCACCTGTAAGATAGGAATAATAATAGTATTTCCTCATAGGGATGCTGTGAAGCTTCAATGAATTAATGTGTGTAAAGTACTTAGAATAGTGCCTAACATATAGCAAGTACTCTATATTATCTAATATTATCATCATCATCGTCATCATCACTATCATTATCATCACACCTTTAGCAAGTAGTAGAGCAAGGTCTTAAATCCAGGTGTTCTTTTCTACCTTCTCTATGGTGTTACTTTGGGAAACAAATGGTCTAGGAGGCTGGCCATCTGCTGACTGTAGGCAAATTACTCCTGTTGTATTATACCTGATCTATAAAATGAGGGCTCAACATTGATGATCTTTGAAATGGTTTCCAGTTCTGACTGCCTTTGATTCCAAGTAGGCCCTGACAACAGACTTACAGTTTGTTTATGGACCCTGGATCCTATATTGACCTTGTACAGAGTATAGCTGGGATCTCTGATCTGAGGGCCTAGGCAGGTCAGCTGGACTAATTGGGGACAAGAGTGAGCCAACTGCTGCTGGGAAGAGCCAAGCATAAGGTTGGAAAGATGACTGTAGAAAGAATACAGGCAGTGGAATTAGCCAGACCTGGGCCTAGGGTACCTAAGACAGCATCATAGTGTCCTGAGCAAAGGATTGGTAATTGATGCCAAGATACTCTTGACCTTTGGTAAAAAGCCAAGGATATAGCCTTAAGCTACAAGTCTTCATGCTGTGATTTGGGGCTGTATGTGCTTATTGAGCCCTAGCAACACCCAGTTGGAAACCATCTTTGGCAGGAGAGGGGAAATTTCTTTATGAAGATTTATTCTATTGAGGCAAGTGACCAGCAATTCTTCTCCACTGAGGTCAGAACAAGAAGAAATTGACTTTCAGTGCAATTGGAAGAAAACAGGTTCAACATAAAAATAAATCTTCTCATAGGAAGGGGAACTAGTCACTTAAAGGTAGCTGTCCATATCTCCTTCTTTTGGATTCTTTAAGAATATGAGTTATATGGTTTGAGATATTATGGATGGAATTTTATGAGTTCAGTATAGCTAATGAGTAGACATTGGTAGTATGGTATGATGGGCATTAGAGCATATGCAGTCAGAAGGCCAGGCTCCATTATTATCAACTTGTATGATTGACCAAAGCACAGGTTACCTATCAAAGCCTCAGTTTCCTTATCTTTAAAATATGGGTAATAGTGACACCTTGCTCATTCAGTGAGGATCAAGTGATACAGTAGATGTGAAAATACATTGTAAACTGTAAAGCATGAAACACTTGAAAGGTAGTGTTATAAAAAGTCCTACTGGAAATCTCTCTTGCATCCATGATCAGGAGCCCCCCATGCTGTACCTGACCAACAGAATGCCTTGCCTAAGTCAAAAGATCAGTTATTGGATATGTTTTCATGTGTATGCAATGTGTTATGTGCTAATTTCATGACCATGGGGTTATTCTCTAGTTGGCATATTGAAAGACAGACCTATGTGAGAGGATGCATATTCTATATTCTGTCTCTGTTGTTTTTGAACCGTTTTGTCTTTGGGTTTGTGGAGCCACAATTGCCTTAGAGAATCAGCCCTTCCTCAAAACAGATTGATGGAAAAGTTAACATATAGAGAACATGTTCAGAAATTTAGTGCTAGAGAGAGAATTCTTGAATCCCTTGCCTTGACAGGCCATATGTTCTCTATTCTAGAATCTGTTTCTCCAAATGCCAGGAAGATTGATGGCCCATATAGGCTGTAAACAGCTGGGTAAAAAGGATAACAAACAACATAGGGGTCTGGATGGCAGCCAGAGAGAGGCAGACTCTTTTCTCACCCCCATCATCATCACTGTGCTTAGATGAGTGTTGTGAATGTGTGTGTGTGGGGGGGGTGTGGAACTGGGATAGATGTCTTCCTGTTACTGTGTGGATCACAGTCCTACTGGTCATATACTTTAATGACCAGGGTTAAGGTCTTTGCACAGCCCCTGTCTTGCTGCGTGATCCTAAGTTCATTCCTTAGCTTCCTTGTGACTCAGTTTTGCCATCTGTCAAATGCAGGATTCAACCTAGACCCCCTACGTATCTCATAGGGTGGTGGTACAAATCACTGAGTGAATTTATGCCAAGGTTGAGTTTTATGGAAGCAAGGCATCACAGAAAGCCATATTCTTTCACACCCATGACCTCTCTGGATGGCATCATGTGTGGGTGAGACCAGGAGGCTGCAGGACTGGAGTCCATTGTGTGTGAGGAATGCCATGATTTGTAACCCCTTGGGAGTGGGTTATAGTGGTGTTAAATAATGTACCACCAACTCTCAATTAGTCAGTTCCAAGAAGGAGGAGGAAACAGGGAGGAACACAGAGAATCTAGAACAAATATGTTTGAGCTTCATTTTAGCCTTTGATTTTAACCTCTTCACCCATTCCAGACCCAGGGCTGCCTTTAAGCACTAAGAGAAGATGCATTGGAACTTTCTTTCTTTTCTGGGGAAGGATCTAATGAGTAGGGATAAAAGCATAAGGCTTATGTAGTTCATATTCACATTCTGGGTCATTCCATCCACTGGCTAATGGAAAGTTGACAAGTATTGTTTGTCTTGTGGTCCAGTGGAGCTTGTGCTTCCCAGTGCCATCTCCCTCTCCCCAACCCTTCACCACTAGTATGTCAGTTTTTCCATAACTAGTAGAGTTCTGTGGGTGGGGTAAAGGGCAAGTAAGGTAGCCAGCTGTGTGGACTGAACACATTCTCATTTTGTCTCCTAAGCTGATCACTGGAGATTCCATCGTTAGTGCTGAGGCAGTATGGGATCACGTCACCATGGCCAACCGGGAGTTGGCATTTAAAGCTGGCGACGTCATCAAAGTCTTGGATGCTTCCAACAAGGATTGGTGGTGGGGCCAGATCGACGATGAGGAGGGATGGTTTCCTGCCAGCTTTGTGAGGGTGAGTGTCAGTCAGCCTTCACTCCCCTCTCCTGTCTCCTTGGCTACCTGCCCCTGGCTCCCCCTTCACCAGCCTCTTTTCTCCTGTTCATTTCTCTCCTGGTGGCTCCTCTCACAATTTTTCCTTTTTTTTTTTTTTTTTTTTTTTTTTTTTTTTTTTAACCGAGGACTTGAGCCTCCTTTAATCTTTTCCCTTCTAATTTTAAGTCTTTTCTTTTTATCCCTTATTTATTTTAACAATTCCCATATTCTGCCTCCTGCCTCCTGTCTCCTAAGTACGGTGGCTTTGTACAAATCACTTCCCTTTTGGCCTTGATGGTTTTTGAAGACTCTTAACTTTATATTGTTGTGAACTTTTGCCTTTCTTATATCTCTTCTTTTCTGATTTCATTATTTTCCTTGTCTCCCCTTTTCTTTCATTTTATAGATCTCTCCCTTCCTTCCTCCTCCCCTTCTCACTCCTCTCTGCCTTCTTTACCTTCTTTCTTTTATTTAGGAAAGCGTGAACACGCCTGTGTGTTGTCTTCAGCTATTAATGTAAGAGTGTGGGCTCTCTACCCTCTCAGAGGCTAGAGTTTACTGATTGCATATCTTACTTTGAGTGAGGTGACTGGGATTTAAGATGTGTTCAGGGTGGGAAGCAGTCACCTTGACGGGGCTTTTAAGGTCTTGGCCCTTTTGACATTGTGCCATGAAGAACCTGACCCTTAATAGAAGGGGCTCTTGAGAAAGGTTTCCTTAGCAGTTTCTGCTTCCTCAGGGTTATCAATTAGCAGAATGCTATGGGGAAGAGCACTGGCCTGATGTCTCAGCTTTTGGCCTTCCTTAGAGTTATGAGCTAGAATATGTTTTTGTTTTTTTGTTGGTAATTGTGGGCTCTGGTTCCCCCAACCCCCATCCACAAAATGGTGTTGACAGTTCTTTCATGCCAGTAGAGATCACAGTGAAATGACTTTGTGGCAGTACAAATACGAAAGCTACGTTAGGATGTCTTATGATCATCCCTACCACAGCCTATCACATTTTGTTAGTTTCTTCTGTAAGATACCTGATGCCAAACAAAATATCAGAGTGGCTTGGGCTCCTGGAAGACGAAGGGCATCAGGATTATCATGACATTGTGACATGAGGGAAGGAGCAGGGCATTTGGAGTCAGATAACCCACAATGCAATTTCAGCTTTACTACCTCCCAACTCCATGGCTTTTGGAAAGACTTCAGTTCCCTGAACCTTGATTTCCTCATCTGAAAAATAAGGATAACAGAATTTTATGAGGATTAAATGAGATCACATAAAGGTCTAAAGTGTTTAGCACAGTGCTTGGCACATGGTGGGTAACTGGCAAATGGTAACTTGATTTATCACCAGTATTATCCTCCTCATTATCACCCCACCACGTTATTAGCTCCAAAAGGTCTATGTATCAAGGCTGGCCTTAGTGGTTAAAAAAGGCCTCCTTTCTTGGAGGACTTTAAACCTAGGAAACACTGTTATCTGGTTGGAATTATTTAGGTGAGGTCAGTACTCAGAAGCGGAGAGGTAGACAAAATGATCTTTCATCCTCTTCTGTCCTGAAAATCTCCTAATGAAATATCCAATCCTTTTTCCTCTATGTGTGTGGCATCTTCCATCAGTCTTCAAGTGTCATCTCTGTTCCAGCTTAGCCTTGCTGCTTGATGAATTGGTCCCAGGGGTAATCAGAAAGAAAACATCAGTAACCATGGGTCTTTAGGATTAGTGTGTGGTCCTGTAAAGAAACAGCTTGTGTGTCTTGTGCTGACAGACCCTTCTTTAAATGAAGGAGTAAACTGTACCCCAGTGTTACCCCAATTCAAATGTATTTGACTTTCTGTGAAATGTCATTTTTATAATAAACAGTAAATAAAGGGATGGGGCAGAGTGATTCAGGGAGGCAAATGGCAGAGCCAAGCTTTAGCATATCAGTGAACTGGCATTTATGCTTCTGCTTCCAAGACCAGGAGAAGCACACATTCCCAGCAGCTGAAGCTTACCTTTGAGAAGACCACTGACTGGTTCAGGCATGCATGACAGAGTCTAGCCTAGGGTTTTCTGCCCTGGCTTCATGATGAAATAAATCACATGGGTGAAAAAAAAAACCATCAAAATGTTTTGTTTTTTTTTTTTAAACATCAAAACTCAGGCTCTAGACTAGTTAAATCAGAATCTTTGATGTTGAGAACCACTGCTCTATACCAGAATAGTGTTGTATGTAACTGATGAATCACTAAATTCTACTTCTGAAACTAATATTATATTGTATGTTAACTAAAATTTAATAAATAAAAAAAGAAATATAATGTTAGCCACAAATGTGAGCCACATGAATCACAAATTCAAGCCACAAATATAATTAAATTTTTCTACTAGCCACAGTAAAAAAAGTAAAAAAAAAATACAAAAATACAGGTGAAATTAATTTTAATATATTATCTTAACCCAATGTATCCAAAATATTATCATATAATATATATTATCACTATGAAAATTGTTAATAATATATTTTTCTACTGAAATTTGGTGTGTATTCTATGATGGCAGTATATCTTCATTTACATTAGTCACATTTCAGGTGTTCATTAGCCACATGTGGCTAGTTGCTACTGTATTAGCACAAGTCTAGACTGAGGACTGTGATAACAGACTAGGGCCATTAATGACAGGGTAAAAGTCATAATTTAGAGGTCCAGTGTTCTATCTACTATACTAATATTTATTCTTTGAGAAATTAAGATCGCATTACATGTTGCCTCAGATTGTATCCAGAATGAGCATTTGATCATTGTGAACCTTTTTGTTTTAATAATAGTTGAATTTTTCACACCTCTACATGGGAGTACATGGAACCCTAGGGGCCAGCTGTTGTGGTGTTATAAGTAAAAAGAAAGGGGGTCAGGCTGTTTCATGAATGATATGAATGATATGAATATTTTTGTGGTGTTACCAGTAAAAGGAAAGGGGGTCAGGCTGTTGCATGAATGTCATGAATATTATCTCTTTCAATTCTCCTTTATGACAATTTATGTTTAGGTTTACATTTCTGGTGGGATTTTGTGATACTCAAGGGATTGAATGATGGAGGTTGTATAGACTCTTATCTAGTAGATATTTTCTAGTAGTAGATATTTTAAAATAAAATTGCTGTCTCCATTATTCTACATTGATTTTGGTTGAGGTTAGAATGGTATTATGGAAATGGTACTAGCTATATTAAGAAATGATAGACCTGAGTCCTAGTCATGGATCTCTCAACCATTTGGTATATGATCATGGGCTTTTATTTTCTCCTTTATTTCTGAAGCACCTTCTAGAATTTATTCAAGCTCTGACATGTATAGGTAAGACATAGAAGGAAATCACATTGAACTATTGAATCTTTATTAGTGCTGATGTAGTTGGTACATACATGGGTAACTTTCTGGGATACTGCACCTTCATGTTATAGGACAGTGACCTGCTTTATCCAGACTCACCTTGACCTGAGATTCAGTAATTCCTTGAAAACATCATCCCTAGGTTGCTTGGCATATAACATGAAAGTATATTAGGAGGGAAAAACCTTTCCACTGAACTCCATACCAACTGGACACCTTTGTGGATCACTGAACCAACTTGGTCACTGATGTAGTGGGGCATCCCCATTCCCTACCTGGAAGTCCCATTGTTGTATGAGCACCCCAGTACTAGGATAGATAATCAAGGGTTCTTAGGGTAGTTCTGTCCAAGCTAGTCTTACTTTTTATTAAGTTAAAATCCAGTGTGGAGTCTAAGGAATGCAAATTCTTTTAGTTTCCAAGTTTTTAGTTAAATTCCAGCTAATTAACATACAATGCAGTAATAGCTTCAGGTGTAGAATTTAGTGATTAATCACTTCTGGTGCTCATCACAAGTGCCTTCCTTAATACCATCACCTATTTAACTCATCCCCCCAACCTGCCACGCCTCCTGCCACCACCTCCCCTCCAGTAACCACTAATTTGTTCTCAATAGTTTAGAGTCTATTTCTTGGTTTGTCTCTCTCTCCCCCCGACCCATGTTCATTTGTTTTATTTCTTAAATTCCACATATGAGTGAAATCATATGGTATTTGTCTTTCTCTGATTTATTTCACATAACATTATTTCTCTAGCTCCATCCACATCATTGTAAATGGCAGGATTTCATTCCTTTTTATGGCTGAATAGTATTCCAGTGTGTGTGTGTGTGTGTGTGTGTGTGTGTGTGTGTGTGTATGTGTATGTGTGTGTGTACCACATCTTCTTTATCCACTCATCAGTCGATGGGCATTTGAGCTGTTTCCATAGTTTGGCTATTGTTGATAATGTGGTTGTAAACATCAGGGTGCATGTATCCCTTCAAATCAATATTTTGATATCCTTTGGGTAAATTCCTAGGAGTGCAATTGCTGGATCATGGGGTAGTTCTATGTTTAACTTTTTGAGAAACCTACATACTGTTTTCCAGAGTGGCTGTACCAGTTTGCATTCCCATCAACAGTGTAACAGGGTTCCCCTTTCTCCAGATTCTCACCAACACCCATGGTTTCCTGTGTTGTTAATTTTAGCCATTCTGACAGGTGTGAGATGATATTCACTGTAGTTTTGATTTCCATTTCCCTGATAATGAGTGATGTTGAGCATCTTTTCTTGTGTCTGTAGGCCATCTATTTGTCTTCTTTGGAAAATGTCTATTCATGTCTTCTGCTCATTTTTAACTGAATTATTTGTGTTTTTTTGGGTGTTGAGTTTTATAAGTTCTTTATATATTTTGGATACTAATGCTTTATCAGATACATCATTTGTAAGTATCTTCAACCATTCTGTAGACTACCCTTTGGTTTTGTTGATTGTTTCCTTCGCTGTGCAGAAATTTTCTATTGTGAGGAAGTTTATGTTTGCTTTTGTAAGCAACCCAGATTCTTGCATCATTTGTGCTGTTAGATGTGCAGCTTGAGCAGCTTTCTGTACATCTTTGAAACTCAGT